CCAAAACTGGTCAACAGTCCGGCGCTGAAGAGAAGTCAAGCCGCTGCTTAAGTAGCTGGTCTCCTGATGAGATGAATCAGCCTCAGGTGTGCAGGTGGCTTCAGCTCATGAGACCCAGGGCGCTCTCTGCTGGAGAAAGGTGGCAGATCTCCAGATCCCAACAGTTACAACAGGAGTCTCTCAATTTTGTGCATTTTACACTGAATTAAAATAAAAAGCATGGCTTCGGATTTGTGTCAATTTTTCATTTAGCTAAAATTAGATATACAAAGATTCAAGACAAATGCAAAGTAGTCTAATCTGCACATAAAGAATTTGAGTGCATAAAAACTGATCTTATACTTTTGCCAAAGTAAAAGATCAGTTATCATTGCACTTAATCGCACTAAAAACTCTGTATTTGTCCCTGTAAAATAAAAAAGTATGTTATTTCAAAAGAGTGTTTGTTTCTATTTGTAACTGCAGGATAAATCCTGGAATAAAAAATTATGAGTTATAGTCTATGCTATATCATAAATCACCCCTTTTTTCTTCTCACATCATGGTGTGTGTTTGAAACATCAAGAATATTGGACCGATGGGAAAAACCAAAAGTGTCTGATGCCTCTTCAGCAAAGAATACAGTTTTTATAAGAGGTGAGATACTCGCCTTTCTTTTAGTTATGCTTTTCTGTTTACATGTGACTAAATGAAGGTCTAATTTTTCTCAGTGAGAACACTTTAATGCAGGGTTTTTATAGTATGTCCATGTCACGGGAATGACTTTGCAAAATCCGAAGTGTTATAATGAGTTTAATTGATTTTCTAAACCAGGAGTAGAAAAGGGCATAAATAATAGGGTTTAGGCAGGAGTTAAAGTCAAATAAAAAAAATATCACAAAAGCAGAGGATGAGGCATTAAGTAAAGTGTCTTGACCTGTAAGTGTGACACAGAAATATGGTAACAGACATATCAAGAACACAATGACTACAACTCCGAGGGACCCGGCTACTTTAATCTCAGATTTCTTACTATTTACAGAACCATGGAGGGTTAATCCTGCAGTGTGAGAGTGTATAGCTCGAATCTGAGAAACTGCCACCACAAATATTCTCAGATACAAAACCACCATTATACTGATGGGGACTATCAAGGACAGAATAAGATCTACCAAACCACCAATGTAATTAAACACAATGACACATTCACCTAAGCAGGAGTTATACATGCCAGGTTGTTTGAAATTCTCCGTCAGATTAAGGCCTGGAAGCACCATAGACCAGGTCCAACACAAGGAAACACAGATTTGCACTTTTTTCTGTGTTATTTTAGTGTTGTAATGAAGGGGGTAACATATAGCTACATAACGGTCAATAGATATCATCACCATGGTTCCTATTGAGGCATTGGCAAAAATATAAGCCAGATAGTGATATATGACACAGAAACTGTCACCTAGAAGCCAGCAGCCATTTATCTGAACAATATGAAAGAACATGAGGAGACCAATAAAGAAATCGGAGACAGCCAGAGAAAGAAGGAGCAGGTTGGTGGGAGAGTGGAGCTTCCTGTGGAGAAAATCAAAAGCAGATTTACTTTCTCTAGTCTGTGTAACCTGTTCATTTTGTATTTGTAAATATAAGTAGAGGTGCTGTACTACAAAACCCCAAACTAATTTACAGCAGTTCCAATAATTATTGTTAAAGTTGTTAACTCATTTGAAACCTGAAGTGTGAGATAGAGATGATGACCAGCAGATTTAGAGATGAGGTGAGCAGAGAGGTGCAAAACAGCAGAATGTAGGTTATCATAGTTTCAAAGTAAGTACGTTTTGGTCTGCTGCATGAAGTGTTAAAGAGTTGTGGAAAGCAGAGCTCAGTCTCCTCCATTATCATGAGGCAGCAGCTCCTGGATACTGATGAGGCTCTATGAGCTGATTTAAGTGGTGGGTCTACTTATTCTCCACCTTACATTTCTGTCCCCATGGAAACCCATGTGATGAGATTGTGTGTAGTGTAGCTTCCACATTTAATTTCTTGTTTCTCTCACACAAAACCAATGAAAAACCAACAATAAAACCCCAAAATAGACCAACAGTGTTTTGTTAAATATTGTTTGAATATTTAATTATGTTTAGCTTTACATTAATTCATAAAGAACACCCATATAATTTAAAAATTGTGTTTTTTATATAGCAACAATTCACTTGTCATCTCAAGGTACTTTACAATTCACCAGATCAACCAGTCAAATTGATTCAAAGTTTTCTATCAAAGGAAAACCAGTTGATTGCATCAACTCATTAACTTGAAGGCAATCCTTTACACTGAGCATACTTGTTGCGACAGTGGAGAGGAAAAACTCCCTTTTAACAGAAATAAATCTCCTGTAAAACCAGACTCAGTATGAGCGGTCATCTGCTGAGGACGACTGGGGTTCAAGCAGACAGAAGCATAGATACAAAAGACAACTGTAAATGGCGGCCCCATCCAAGAAACACACAGCCAGGCAGACGAGCTCCAAGCCAGCTCCCATGTCAGAGGATGAAAAGACCACATCCAGCCAGTCACAGGCTGATCCCTAACATCTATAAACAAAGGTGTTGATGGCAGCAGCACAGTAAATATGTCTCTCCAGGACGGTGTCACAGCCAAACAGGAACAGACGAGCCAAAGCTACTATGAGAAAAAAAAAGGGGAGAGTATAACATCAGAGATTGAACTAACAGATTCTGCAGAGTGGGAGAATAGAGATAGAATGAAGTAGAATAATGAAAAAGGCCGGTGAAGTTTTCTAAAAAAAGGGAATAGATTGCAGCCAAAACCTGTTGAAAAATGACTATTCCTGAATAAAAATGAATAACTTCTTTCATGTTACTCATCATTGCCCAAGTTGCAGTGTACCTTCAAAGATTGTTCTTTTCTAAGAAAGTTTAAACACGCAAAAACTTAGAAAGGATTTTATTATCCAGTATTGAACTATTTCAAAAAAACTTAAATAGGAAAAAAGCACAATCATTTGCAAGCATCACAGAATATGTGGCTGATTGTTGTTGTTATCCACCAGTAGGTTGTGACATATGCACATGTCATGAACTCTGGGGATCATCGTAGCAAGTTGGCCAAAAGGTTTGAATGCCTCATGAGGCCTCATCTCACCATCATTACAAATAAGCCAGCGTTTGCCTGGTGCATAAACAATCAGGCAAAAACGCTTGCATACATTACGTTTTGGGTCAGTTTTGTGTAAGTTATGAGCACACTGAAGCATGCTGGCACACGTTGACGTACGGCAAGTACATCCACAGATTTTGAGCAAACTCATTAATGGGCCAGAAGTTACAGGTGAGTTAGGTTATCATTGACATACGTTAAGTGTGAGTTACTCATAAGTCATGGTTTTATCCAAAACATGTGAGCATAACTTATTGGCAGCTTTTTGGAATAAAAGGGGGTTCACAAGAGGAAACCGTCCATACTCTTTCAGATGTTCCGCAAAAGATGGAGGATCTGCCAATGCTAACACAGGAATACATATTAGCTGTCTTTCAACATCAGCGTGATCTCATTAATTTGACTCTTCCAGTTGTAGGGTGGAATAGAAGGTGAGTGTGATGGATCCTCCCTACATTCATGCCCACAGCCACGACTACCAAACTTCCTAGCAGACATGAATCTGCTGCAACTGCAAACAGTCTTTCTTTCTTTTTTTTTATTCATTTAGTTATTTTTTTCATGGATGACAAACAGCAGATAGGTTAATATCGTGACCCAGGCAAGGTGGCTTATATTAAGTGTAGAGTCCCATTGAGCACTCTTCAGAGTCCCAAGTGTTATTTGAGCCTTAGCTAAATAATGCACACCTTGAACAACTTAGGTTTGGAACAGGACTTTTACTGGACAGACAGGCCATATGTCAAAATACCAGTGTCCAACTACTCTAAACAAAGTGTGGCCCTACCCAGTTTAACTGGTTTGGGTTCTATTGAGTCCATCACTACAATTGTTGAGCAAGACAATCCCAAAAATTTGTGTAAAACGGCACCTGGGTCCATATATACAATTGACTAAAGCCCAAAGTCAAGCAAAGAGCAGGAGGAACCAAATGCAGCACATTGGCATCCTCCAGTGGACATTAGTCACCTAAGCAACAAAGTGAGGTAAAGCAAATGTTGTATGAGGAGTCAATCGCATTCCCTTGTGAAGAGGATGCCATTGGAGATATCCAAGTTTGACTATGACTATTAATCTGAACGATGATACCCCAGTTCGACACACCTACACAGCCATCCCTAAACCTTTATACAAAGAGGTGAAATAGTACATTCAGGACCTGCTGGCCAAAGCTTGGATATTAAAATGAAAGTCCCCCTTTGCTGCTCCAGTAGTCTGCGTGAGGAAGTGGGATGGCACATTAAGACTTTGCATTAACTGCAGATTGCTTAACCAGACATTCAAAAGACCGCCATCTGCTCCTATGTATTCAAGACCTCTTTGACACACTTGGCGGCCAAACCTGGTTCAGTATCGTTGACCAGGGTAAGGCTTACCACCAGGGTTATATGGCTGAGGGGTCCCGCCATATGACTGCCTTCATCTCACTTTGGGGGTGGAATGAGTGGCTGAGAATACCATTAGGCCCCAGTAATGCACCTGTTGCTATCCCGTGCAGTAGGGAAGAGATCCTGTACACCCTCCATTATGACTGCTGTATCCTGTATCTCAATGACATCCTTTGTTATCCGAAAAGTTTTGCTGAGCATGTGGGAGTATTACGTAAAGTAATGAGAGCTCTCCAACAACACAGTTTCAAACTAACAAAATGTGAGCTGTTCAAGGCAGAGGTCAGATATTTTGGCAGGCCGGCTTCAGGAAATGGGGTTCGAGTAGATTCAAGGGATGTTGAATCAGTGAAGTCACTCAGTCAACAGAAACCAATAAATGTGGCCGAATTACGAAAATTACTCAGATTCTTGAGTTATTATCACATCTACATTTAGCATTTCTCCAGAATTGCTAAGCCCTTGTACGCCCTTCTACAAGTTAGAGGGAGCCCTGATGAAAGGCAGGTGAAATCGAGGAAAGGAAAAGGTGCTCAGCTGCCCTCAAGGACTCCTGTTCACTGGACAGGAGAACACGACCACACACCGAAACAGCTCATTGATATTCTGTCCAATCCATCTGTGCTGGTATTTCCTGACTTTGAACTGCCGTTTGTCCTACACACAGACGCCTGTGAGAAAGGTCTGGGAGCCATGCTTTACCAAAGACAAAGTGGGAAACTAAAGGTCATTGCATTTGGCTCAAGAACTCTGACCCCAGCTGAAAAAAACTGCTGTCTACACTCCGGCAAGTTAGAATTCTTGGCACTTAAATGGGCGGTGTGTGAAAAGTTTAGGGATTATCTGTTTTATGCTCCAGAGTTCACGGTGTATACAGACAATACTCCCCGGACATATGTGATGAGCACCGCAAAGTTGAATGCCACAGGGCATAGGTGGGTGGGTGAGCTTGCGGACTTTAGGTTTAACATCAAATACAGGCCTGGTAAGGTTTACGTAGATGCTGACACCTTGTCAAACCTTCCTCTGGACATTGATCATTATATCGGAGAGTGCACAGAGGAGCTTAGCCGAGACATTGTCTGTGCTACTTGGGAGGGCTGTAAAGTAGCAAAGGTAAATAATAATAATAATTATAATAATACATTTTATTTGTAATGTACTTTACATAAAATAAAATCTCAAAGTGCTACAGGTAAAATCATCATAGAAGGGTAAAATCAAAATTTAAATCTAAACATCGCTTTAAAACACTAATGAATAAAATCAATTGCATAATTTTAAAATGTTAAAAGTCATACGTGTCATGATCTTGGCACCATAGGCTGGGTTTTCCTCTTACCTGTTTTGCTCCTTCCCGGCCTAATTATCTCTTATCAGATCCACCTGTTTCTTCACCTATTTATGCCACCAGTTCCCAGCCCATGGTGTCCGATTATTCAAGCTTTCAGCGAGTCTAGTTCTAGCGTTTCTCTGTGTGTTCTGCCTGATATTGACCTGTTTCTGCCCACGGACTTCTGAGTTTTGGCCGCCCCTGCTCTGCTCTGTTTGTCTGTTCTGTTTCTCTGGATTCTACCTGTTGCCGACCTTGAACCCGTCTTCTGACCACGGCTTGGATTATCCCTCCTGGATCCCTCGTTTTCTCTGTGTGCTCTGGCTGCTGCTGGTCGCTGCTCCTCTTTCCTTCTGGATCTCTGGTTGAGGCTCAGTTAAACGCTGCGGAGCTCAGCTCCTCCGGACCTTAATCCTCCTTCTAAGCTCAGACTGAACTTTGCCAGGTTGGTGACTTTCAGCTCATTATAATTCCCCAATTGAGCTTCTGAGATATTTATCTGAGTCCATATCCCCGCAGCGAATCCAGTGAACCCGCGCCAGCTGATGAGCAGCCGCACGCAGTTTGTTTAATAAACTCATTTAAAGCTTCACTGTCTGTCTCGTCTGAATTCTGGGTCCAAACCTCTGAGCCCCTGACAATACGTCCTGCAAAAAAGGAATGTTTTTAATCCTTTCTTAAAAGTCTGAGTAGTCTGTGGTTCCCTCAGATGATCAGGGAGGGCATTCCAGGTCCGAGGAGCGGCAGAGCAGAAGGCATGATCGCCCATGGTGCGTAGCTTAGCCTTGGGGAAGAGGAGGTGGTTTGAGTGTTTTGAGCGGCGGGATAGTGTTGTAGTGAGAGGGGTGAGCAGTTCCTTCAGGTATAGTGGGGTATTTCCATAGATGCACTGGTGGGTGTGAATTGAGACTTGTATTCAATCCTTGCAGAAACAGGAAGCAAGTGAAGGGAGTGGAGAATGGGTGTGATGTGGTTGTACTTTCGGACTCTCATCA